TTCTGACCTCATCACTCAACAGAAATTGCTCTTTTGGTCATCTATTAATGGCCAAAACCAATGGCCTCTTTTTGCCACTTTTCCTTCTTGACCTCTCTGCATCATTTGGCACTGTCTACTACCCTTTTCTTCTGAATACTCACTCCATTCTGGGTTTGTGAGGCAGCTAGGTGCCTCAGTAGATAAGAGCACTGGACTTGGAGCCAGGAATACCTGGATTCAAATCCTGCCTCAGACACTTAGCAGCATAGGCAAGTCATTTACACTCTGTGTGCCTCGGTTTCTTCAACTATAAAATGGGAATGATAAATACACCTGCCTCACAGGGATGTTGTAAAGACTAAATGAGATAACATATGCAAAGCACTGTGCAAACCTTAAATAACTGTCTAAGTGATAGCTATTATTTGCATGTGTATGTGAGAGAGACAGAGAGAAAAAGAGACAGAGAGAAACTGCTCTCTTAGTTCTCCAACTTGTCTGCTCTTTCTCAGTCTCCTTTACTGGATCATGATCTATATCCCTCCCCACTAACTGTGAGTATTCCCCACTTCTCCATCTGGGGCCCCTCTTCCCTCTTTCTTTTTCTCTCTGTGAGTGACTTTATCAGCTCCCATGTGTTCTGGAACCATCTCTATACAGAAGACTCCACGATCCATATATCCAATGACAGTCTCTCTCCTGAGCTCCAGTCCTATATCTATACATGTCTATTATAGCAATTCTCAAAATTTTTTGGTCTCTTGACCCCTTCATACCCTTAAAAATTATTGAGAATCCCAAAGACCTTTTATTTATGTGGATTATATATCTATTGATATTTACTGTATTATAAATTAAAACTAATAAAATTTTAAAATATTTATTTACTAATTCATTGAAAAACAACAATAAATCCATTACATGTTAACAAATTATTTTACTAAAAATAATATTTTCCAAATCAAAAAAAATTGGTAAGAAGAATGGCATTGTTTTATATATTTCTGCAATTTTCTTTAATGTCTGGCTTAATAGAAGACAGTTGAATGCTCTTATCTGCTTCTGTATTCAATCTGTTGTGATATATGGTTTTGGTTGAAGTATATAAAGAAAATCTAGCCTCACAGAGATATATAGTTGGAAAAGGGGAGGAGTATTACAAGTAAATAATCTGACCTGGCAAACCCCCTAAAGGGGTCTTGGGGACCCCTAGGGATCCATGAACTATACTCAAAGAACTTTCAGAGGTAGCTAGGTGGTATCGTAGGTAGAAGGCTGGGCTTAGGGTCAAGAAGATCTAAATTCAAATTCTGACTTAGACACTTATTAAATGTGTGACCCTGGGCAAGTCACTTAACCAGTCTCAGTATACTCATTTATAAAATGGAAATGATAAAAAAAAAAGTTGTTGTGAGGATCATACGAGACAATATATTTAAAGGGCTTTGCAAATCTTATAGTGCTACATAAAAGACAGCTACCATTATAATACCAAAGTCAACATCCCATAGTTAATTCAAAATCAACATATGCAAACAGAGTTTATTATATTTTCCATAAAGCCTCTGCTGAAGTTACCTATTTCTACCAAGAGCATCAGCATCTTTCAAATTAGCCAGGTATGAAACCTAGGTGCTGTCCTCAACTTTTCCCTCTCCCTCAACTCACAAACCCAATTAGTTGTTGAATCTCATCAAGTCTGCCTCTGCAGCATGTTTCACACCCATTCCCCTCTCTCTACTCACCACCCTGGGAAGGCCTGCATTACCTCACACCTGGAATACTGTCACAGGTTCCTGGTTGGTCTCTCTGTCTAAAATCACTCCCCACTCCAGCCCATCCTTCACACTGTAGTCAAAGCACAATTATAAAAGTATAATCTCCTATAATTCCTGCCTCTAGAATAAAACACAACCCTTTATATAAGGCCCTACACAGTCTAGCTCCAGACTGGACTTATTACACATAACTCAGGCAGCTAAGTGGCACAGTGGATAGAGAGTTGGACCTAGGCTCAGAAAGAGCTGACTTTAAATCCAGGCTCAAACACAGGCTATGTGGCTCTGGGCAAGTCACTTAACCTCTGTCTGCCTCAGTTTCCTCAACTGCAAAATAGGAACAATAATAGTACCAACCTCCTTGGGTTGTTATAATCAATGAGATAATATTTGTAAAGTGCTTAGTACAGTGCCTAGTACACAACAGGCACTTAATAAATGCTTATTTCCCTCCTTTACATCCTCTAGAGATCAAAACCAAACTAGCCTGTTCAATGTTCTTCACGCATGACACCTACCTTTGTACAGGCTGTTCTCCATGTCTGGAATGCATTCCCTCATCTATCTCTCTTGTTGTTCAGTTGTTTTCAGTCACGTCTATTCTTTGTGACCCCATTTGGGATTTTCTTGCCAGAAATACTGGAATGGTTTGCAAATATACTGCAGTGGTTTGCCATTTTCTTCTCCAGCTTATTTTATAGATGAGGAAACTGAGGAGGCAAACAGGGTTAACTGACTTGCCCAGGGTCACACAGCTTAAGTGTCTGAGGTCACATTTAAACTTGGGTCTTCCTGATTCTAGGCTCAGCACCCTATCCACTGCATCATCTAGCTGCCTCCTTAAGAGTTCCTACTTTCCATCAAAGCTCAGGTCAAGTACTATGTCCTATAAGAGACCTTTTCTGACATCCATCGCCCCTACCCCACCCCCAACTATTAGTGCCTCCCCTCACTCCAAAATTACCTTGCATTTACTTTGTGTATGTGTGTATGTATATTGTATGTGAGTGTATTTTGTTTTTAATTTATCTGAGAACCTGCTATTTTCCTCCAAAAGAATATAAGGCCCTTGAGGGCAAGAACTGGTTTTGTTTTGTTTTGTTTTTTGGTCTTTTTATCTCTAATGAAGGGTACCTTGCACGTGGTAAGGATCTTAATAGATCCTTGTTGATTATTGATGGGTTGATTTGCCAAATAAGCACATTTAGGCATTACCATCACAAAAAGCAGAAAAGGCTACCCCAGGAGAAAGTGGATTGCCCTCTCCAGTGAGCTCTTCAAGCAAAGACCAAATACCCACTTGGGTGTGTTGGAGAGAGAGAGAGAGAGAGAGAGAGAGAGGATTCTTGTTGAAGGACAGATCAAACCCAATGACTCCAAGGTCCCTCCCACCCCTGAGATTTGGTTTGCGGTTCAAAGACTGAAGGGGCAACATTCACTCAACATCAGACAACAAAACTATTTATATTGCAACTCTTTCACCAATGATATTACTTTGGGCAGTTCACTTAACTACTCTGGACTTCAGTTTTCCCATCTGTAAAATGGGAATACTTTCTATTCTACCCCTTGGAGAGGTAAGGATTGAATGATATCACGGGTGGGAAAGTAGTAGCTTTGAAAAGTGCCGTTTTATACAACTGCCCCGCATTGCTCCAATGACACAGGAGTTCTTTAGTTTCACACAGTAATTTATACAGTTTCACTATACAAGGTCTGTTTTAAATGTAAATAGAACAGAGGTTTGCTTATCCAATTCCCTGCTTCAATTTATTCAGCTTCCTTGAATGAATCCCACAGACGAACCACATGATTTATTTACTTCATACCCTCTCCCCACTTGCCTTTTCACCTTCATCTTTTTTGCAACTTGTATTTAGGATCTGACATCATGGGATAATGGGGTAGAGCCAGAGCAGGCTTCAGAGGCCATCTAGCGTAGCCTTTTCATTTTACAGATGAGGAAACTGAGGCCCAAGGCCATACTGGTAGTAAACAGCAAAGCCAGGATTTGCAGCAAGGTCTTCTGACTCCATCTCCAGGGCTCCCTCCACTACACCATTCTTGCCTTAGTGTTATTTGAGCAGTATGCTCTCAACAATCATAGCGTACACTTATGAGAGCTATCAATAACTCTGATAGTATCTTTTGTAGCAGCTCTCAAAATATTTGGCGACGTAAACCAAGGTAACTGTTGTTCAGTCATGTCCAACTCTCTGTGTCCCATTTGGGGTTTTCTTGGCAAAGATACGAGTGTGGTTTGCCATTTCCTCTTCCGGTGTGTCCCCATTTTACAGATGAGGAACTGAGGCAAACAGAGGTTAAATGACTTGTCCAGGGTCACACAGCTAGCAAGTAGCTGAGGCCAAATTTGAAGTCAGACGTTCCCAACTCCAGGCCCATTGCTCTATCCATTGAAGCATCTTCCTGCCTTAGTTTATTCATCTATAAAATTGCAGGGGCTAGACTGAATGGCATCTATCGCCCCTTCCAGTTCTAGACCTATGATCTCATAAAATAAGTTTGACTAGCTAGTTCTTATTTCCAAGCAAGCCTTATGAAAACCAATTCCCATTTCTCCTTAGGTCATATTCCTTTCCCGTGCAATGCAGGCAGTTAGGTGACACAGTGGGCTTAGAGGCAAGAAGACCCGAATTCAAATCCAGTTTCAGACACTTACTAGTTGTGTGACCCTGGGCAAGTTACTTAATTTCTGTCTGCCACAGTTTCTTCAGCTGTAAAATTGGAATCATAATAGCACCTAACTCCCAGGGCTATTGTGAGGATCAAATATTTGTAAAGAACTTAAAACAATACCTGGAACATAGTAGGTGCTTAATAAACGTTTGTTTCCTTCCCTACAGTAAAGGAAAGAGAATTATGTGCTCTAAAGAGTCGAGGTTTATGGTGAATCAACACGTGGAAAGAAGGAAAGAAGAGTTTAATTTTATTTTTCCCTATTCTAATATCCGGGTCTTGTTAAGCTCCATTGTGCCCACAGCGTTATAAAAGGTAGCGTCTGTGCATAGGTACAGCAAGGGTGGTTTGCATAACAGTACATCTGCAAAGTGGATTCAAAGCCCAGAAATTCCCGTCCTCTGAAAAAAGGGAGCACTGCTACTTTAACATTTTGCTGGGTTCTCTCTGCCTGTGCTCCGATTGCAGGCAGAGCAGACTGCGGCGGCTGGCTCATCCTATCAATAAGGTTCAGTTAGAGCCAAGGTGGAGGATGGGAAAGGAATGGAGCTGTCCCAGCTCCTCAATGAGATCAGGGCAAACTATGAAAGGCTGCTCACCAGAAACCAGATAGAGACCGTGCTCTCAACAAGACTCCAGGTAATGCTTTCATACAGGCAGGCAACTTCCAGGATAAGGAGACAATCCATGTCTACCCCATTCCTGTCTCGGCCTCTATGAGGTACAGTATTTCCTTTTCGATGCAGCATGTACTGGGGAAGGAATTCAGCTTTCACTGCAATATGACTAGGACTAGAATAGAGAGGGAAATGTAATGTTTATCTTGCAAAAATAGCATGCGGCCATGGGCAATTCGTAGATTGGGGGTTTTGCAGAAAGGAAGAGGTTACTGAGATTAAGGAGACATGGGGACCACAGACAGAATATGATGCCCTCTGACCTCTGTGACATCCTTCAGGAAATAGCATGTCAAGTATCCTGCAAGGATGTTACAAAGGGGCTATTTACAGAGAAGGGTTTCAATAGTCAGCATCTTCAGCTTTACAGTCAAGAGATTAATTTGCTTCTTTTAAACTTAGCAAAGCCGGTCTGAAAGATTTCCATAATCTATTTTCATCATAATAAACATGTAGGCTCATTTGATTATTATAAATTCTCATTCAAATTATCCCATTGTGATGTAAATCTAGCATTCAGGAATAATTCTATATTTTGTCAAAACCAACCCCCCTGCATTCCCCACCCCCATCTAATTGATGATCTGACTGTACCTGGATTACTTGGTTTTACAATTCCAGAAATTAAGGGTATTCATGATTACTTGTATCCCAAAGGACATACAATATAAATATTAAAAGACAAGAAGAGACGATAAAGTTCTAATTCCCTGGAATTGTTCACTTTTATCACAACAGACTCTTCATCAGTTCATTAAGGCTCCAATCTACAAATGTGTTCAAAAAGGACAAGTAAATATTAAGAAGGGAAGTAGCAAAAATTCTTGTTATTTTACTGCTTACCTACCAAAAGCTGAACTCAAGATCTGGCCATTAGCTTGCAAAAGGTCATCAAATCCTACACACTCAAATACAGTCAGGTTCTTATTATATTAGTTAAGCATGCTGCCAATATAAGAAATTTTGGCTCCATGGTGGGGAAGAAGGAGGGAGGTGGAAATCACTGAGTCCTGAATGTAGGCCTTTATTCCTTTAGCAATTTGTTTTTAAAATGTTGTTGTTGTTATTGTTTGGCCATTTCAGTCACATCGACCCCATTTTGGGTTTTGTTGGCAGAGATACTGAAGTACTTTGCCATTTCCCTCTCCAGCTCATTTTACAGATGAGGAAACTGAGGCAAACAGAGTTAAGTGACTTGCCCAGGGTCACAGAGCTAGTAAGTGTGTGAGGCCAGATTTGAACTCAGAAAGATGAATCTTCCTGACTTCTGGCCCAGTATTCTATCCACTGTGCCACCTAGATGCCCTATTTTTTTTAAATATATTTTCAAATGTATTTTATATATAAATGTATTTAAATATTTTAAGTAGCATTTATGGATTCGATTGGGGACAACCTTTAAGACATAAAAAAAAAATACAGTAGAATGGAAAGAGCTCTAGATTTGGAACCAGAAGATTTGGATTCAAATCCCAGCTCTGGATAGTGCTGGGCAAATTCCTTAACTTGTGGGTCTCAGTTTCCTCATCTGGACAATGAGAGGCTTGGACCAGATGACCTCTAAGTTCCCTTGTAGATCTTAGCCTGCGATCCTAATATCAGATGCATTTATTTATTCAAGATCAACGTGGAAATTTTCAAATGTAGGTAGGGTTGGAGTAGTTTATTCACTTCTATAAATGGGATTTCATGAAAAAGTCTGAATGCAGATGATGTCATTATTTGAAAGCCATCTTTGTATTGTGTAATCACATAGTGCAAATGATTCTATCTTATATAAGTCATAATGTTGTCATTAGTCAATCAGAATGAAGGGCCTAGCTACAATATGCCACACAGGAAGTTTGTTTTCTGCTCTTTCTAGTTGTTTTCATATGCCTTAAGACCCACTGGAAATACTCACTTTCGCAAGACTAAAGCTAACTTTCAGCTGGGATAAATTCCACAAGTACCTTTCATTTGTTTATGGCAAAAGAAAGAAAGGCAAGTGGTAAGAGCTGCCACTGGAAACAGAAGGAGAAAAAAAAAAACTCACTGAAATAAGCATTGGTTAGCATTTCAGGAGTAAGGGATAACTCCAAAGCTTCTCTATTTCCTTTTTATCAATCATTCAATCATAAAGCAGCTGCATAAGTCTGCTAAGTTGATACCAAAAACTTAGTGACACAAGAGAAACCACTATTCACAAAGACTCCTACCTCTTCTATCCACAAACTTTCATTGACTTGAAACTATTTCCTAAATGAAATTTCCTTGGCTTCATCAAGGCTGAATTTATAATTCTAAAATCTCTGAAAAGAATATGAAATTGCAAGTCACAACCAAGCAGACCCGAGGAAATTATATTCCCAATGACTACAATAGTATAAATGGAAAAAAGAGAGGGAAGGAAGGAAGGAAGGAAAGAAGGAAGGAAGGAAGGAAGGAAGGAAGGAAGGAAGGAAGGAAGGAAGGAA